CGGGAGGGGGCCTCGCGGCGTGCACGCGCCCGGGCCTGGCCGCGCCCGGCTCCTTCCTCGCCCGGGCTGCCCCGCTGCTCCGGGGACTTTCCTTGGCTTGCTCCCCGAGCGGGACGGCCGCTGAGCCTCTCGGAGTTGCCTGCGACCTCCCCAGGCACTTTTCTTGGCGTTGCCGTTGTTCTGTTGTCGCACCCCACCCCGCGGCAAAAATTCAACAGGTGAAGCCCTTCTCCGTACGCAGGCGCGGTAGCTCTGAAGCGGAAGTCGCCGGGGCACATGCCCCGTAATTCCCAGCCCGCTGCACTTCGGGCCAGTCTCTCTCAGCCCAGCCGACGTCACGAGGCGGTGGTTGTGGGCAGGAGTATTGGGTGTGTTCGCCGCCTTGAGCTGTGCGTGTGCGTGTAGAGGTTTGCCATCGCCTCCTTCCTGGGGCTGAGAGAGAGGGACTGGCCCGGGTCGTCCAGCTGGCTTCGTGCTACGGCGGGTCTAGGACTCCCGGTCATGCAGCCGCACCCGTGGAGCTGTATGCCAGTCCAGTAATAAATCAGTCGAGGCCAAGAGTACTTCCCGAGGACCAGCCTTTCCGTCACCCAAAATATCTGACTTCACAATTAAAACAAAGCAGGGAATGACTGATGTTCATTGTACTGTAGTCCAGCGGGTATGCAGGGAAGCCAAGACTCTGTTTTTCAACCCTGGCAACGTTTAAGATGTGTGGGTGGACTTCAGCTAACCCCACGGATGTTTGTTCAGAAGTCAGTCCCACGGTGACCTGACTATGGGTGCCATTCCACGTATTGTGTACAGTGTTGATTGCGGCTTTTTTTTTGGGTCCCTTCAGGGCAGTCTTGGCTCCTGGCCACTGCCCCACGGTAACTCCTGCCTTGTTTCTAATAGAGCAATAGGAGTAACTACCATTTCTTTGTAGGGACAACAGTGACAGCTGTAAATTAGGGGTGTTTTTAGGGCTGGTAACTCTTATTATTAGTTCTGGAAGATTCGGTAGAATTTGAGCACGGGTGAGAGAATTCTGATGGCAACTACCATTGCTACTTTTGCACTACTGACCAGAAATAGTATATTGGAAGCTGAGAAAAAGCATTTTAATAGTATGTGATTCCCATCTTTAACAAATGGAAATTATTGGGTTCATTTAATATCCCGTGGTTTTCAGCTTAGATATGCCCAAAGGCCATTTCACATGAACTCAGCCCAGATATATAAATGACACAGAAGCTGGTATTTTTATTAAAATAACATGACTGGAGATAGAAATGAGAATTTCAAAAGTCATTTTGTATGCAGCCTGATAATTTTAACATTTCGTTCAATTTGTTGCCTTGATATAGACTTGCTTACTCAAAAAAAATCTATTAATAATTGCTTTTTAAACTGTTTCCCCCAAAAAAGTATGGAGGGATCAAGTTGCTATAGATTTTCTTGGTAAATTATCATTTTCTTAAGAAAATATGCATAGTTTGCCTGAAGGGAAAGTGTTTATTTACCTGCCTTGCTGCATCAATTTTTTCTCTTCAATTTCCTTAATTTTAATAGATGGCAGACTTAGGAAGTTGCCATTTTTGTGAGAAGTTTAAGACATTTTTTCCTAATCTGATGCACACCAGATATGTTGAGTTCCAACTCCAATAACACCCAGCCAACATGGCTACAGCGGCTGGAAATTAAGGAGTGGGGAAGAAGCATGGAAAGAAAGAAAAATAAGAAAGTGTGAAAAGGCATGCTAAATATGTGGACCTTCTGCCTCTCCAGTGATTTTTAACTAACAGATCCGATGGAAGTTCCCATAGAGCTTAACACATAGGCAGCACACATTACTACTGCTATATTACTACTATAATAAATAATTAGTTCTACACTTAAGCATTACTTAAAATATTTTAAAATTTATCTGAATCTTAGCAATTGCATCTTTGATATTTTGATGTACAGTGGTACCTCTAGTTACGAACACCCCTCCTTACGAATTTTTCGAGATACGACCAGCTCCGGCCCCCCCAAATTTACCTCGTGTTGCGAACCACCTCGAGTTACAAACTGGATCCGCGGCCATTTTCCCTCCCGTTCCACGTGGTCCGCGGCCATTTTCCGCCCGTTCCACGTGGTCCGCAGCCATTTTTCTGCCCATGCCACGTGGTCCGCAGCCATTTTCCGCCCGTTCCACGTGGTCCGCGGCCGTTTTTCCGCCCTGCCGCGTGGTCTGCGGCCGTTTTTCCACC